AAGCCCCGGATGGATGTGTTTCTTTCCTTGAAAGGAGTCAGAAACATCAAGGAGTTCTTGCAAGCTATCATCTTCTTCTGACTGGCTAACATAAGAGTTGAGTGTGGCAAGAGATGCATTATACAAGAAATGTGCCATTTAAGATCAGTAACAGAAGTATGGCAGGATACATGTCTTGAATAGTTTCATCAGTTTCGTACAGCCTATAGGATATTGGTCCGTGAATTTTCTTGCAGCAGATGAAAAGGGAGGCTTTACGTGTGATACTCTAGTATGAAAGTCTAGTTGCAGGTTTCTGATGAAATTTGAAAGGATGTGAATACGATAAACTTTCAGAGCGTGAGGACTTAAATCAGTCATTTCTGTGAAAAAAAAGATGGAAGATGGTCCTGCTATATGGAAAATAAGAGAAGGGCAGTTTCGTACATCCTAGGATATTGGTCCGTGAAGTTTCTTGCAGCAGATGAAAAGGGAAGCTTTACGTGTGATATTTCAAGAAAGTCCAGTTGCAGATGGAATTTGAAAGTACGTAAATACTATCAAGTTTCAGAAAGTGGGAGGAGTTAAATCAGACATTTCTGTGAGAGAGAATTTCAAAGATGAAAGGCTAGCTGGTCAGTCCTGGCTGCATATATCTGTTTATACAGTCAAATAAATCAAATCAAAGATTGTTATGATATATGGAAGAGAAGAAGGGGGGCACGTGAGGAAACCATTTGGGAAAGGAGCCAATAGCATGGCTCATTGGTTCAGGGACAAGCTAGATGGATGGTTATAACGTAGGGATTCAACGTAAGAGTCAAACTGGCGATATTTGGGCGCTTCTAATCTGTATCAGTCAGTGAAATATGTACCTAAATATAGAAATAATGAAACTTATAGAATATTACACATCAAGATGTAGAATGTAGATAATTTGTGGAGGAGTGTCTCATAAATAGTGTGATCATGGTAAGATGGCAAACTGGGGGCATTCGTAGGACAGTCTTGGATATTCCTCACAACATTCAGCAGCCTTGGTACAGAAGTGCTCTCATAGACCCTTCTTGATTGGTCATGTCAGCCTGATTGAAAATATTACTTAAGAATTAAAGTAAAATGTCCTTAGAAGACAGCACATGTCAGGGTTGCATATACTATACTATACTATACTATACTATACTATACTATACTATACTATACTATACTATATGTTAGAACAACTGATATTTAAAAAAATTGCAAGTTTATTACTGCACTATTGCTGAATGATAAAATTCGTCAAATACCATGCAAAAAGATTCAGCCAAATGGCTCTTGTTTTCAAGCTGTTTGCCAATAATGATTCAAGACTCTCTGTAGCCCAAAGTTACCAAGCTTTGGAATAAAATTCCATACAAAATGATTGAACTTAAAGATTTAAAAGTTAGCAAAGCTAGCCTTCTTGGCTTATGTAATGTCTCCTCTGTTAAAGATAAAGCAAGTCGTTTGTCTGAGCCATACAGAGATAGAGAACTCATGGGAGTTTTATACCACGGTAGTTTGCTTTTATGATTTTTTTATGTTGACCACAGCTGGAAAGACCAAGCTTTATGTGAAGATTGGGTCCTTTAAAAGTAAAACTGGAGAGTTCAAGAAATGAATTCTGAGAGAAAGTTGGGGATAGTTAGCTCATTATGACATTAAGTTTGTCCTACTTTTCTCTTATTATCGTCATATCGGAATGACAGCACATACGTCTTAGAAGGTAATTAAAATAAATAATTTTTATCTATTAGACTATTGAGGTTGGTTCAAGCTAGCTAATACGCTACATGCATTCTAAGGTAAGGTTCTAAATAGGAGCCATAATCACGCCTGTACATTTATGAACATATTGTTGTTGAAAAGAAAAAAAAATACTATTAACTAGAATAACAGTCTACATTGAAGAATGCAATTTATAAACAACAGAAAGCACAAATATCACCTGAAAATGCCTTAGTCTGTATTAGTTTAAAAGAACACAACTGAGCCAGAATACCATCAGACAAGCCGTATATATTTAAGGAAAAAAATACTTATCACAGACTTAAAAAACCCATGCACTGTATCTTATGAGCCCCATGCAAACTCAGCAACAAGTTCCTCAAGATTCCCGCTCGGATACGACGGCTCAAGGCTCGCAGCTCATCAAGCCTTAATAACCGCGATATCGGAAATATAGTTAGAAACAGTCAATAAACACAAAAGAGAGGAATCATTCTGAAAGCCAATAGCCCTTCTAAAGGGGTTTAAGTAGACTCGTGGCACTGGACCTTTCTCCGGATGTCGATACCACTTCAGGAGATGGATGGCAAAAGCCCGCTTTTAAGCCATGGATTTCGGACTTTTATAGGGGTGTATGAGTTTGAAAGGCTGTATTACTTTGGAGCAGATATGCTTTAATGTTATGTCAATATGGTGGTTTAGCTGGGTCACTCAATTGCAGGGGAGAATTTTAAAAATGTGGGATGAAAGAATGCAGTCACTGTATACTGTATTAAAAACTGAAATTCACATTATGAGATTATATCTTTTAAAAGTTTGAAAGGCAGTATTACTTTGGAGCAGATATGCTTTAATGTTATGTCAATATGGTGGTTTAGCTGGGTCACTCAATTGCAGGGGAGAATTTTAAAAATGTGGGATGAAAGAATGCAGTCACTGTATTGAAAAACTGAAATTCACATTATGAGATTATATCTTTTAAAAGTTTGAAAGGCAGTATTACTTTGGAGCAGATATGCTTTAATGTTATGTCAATATGGCGGTTTAGGTGGGTCACTCAACTCTAGGGAGGCCAAAAATGTAGGATAAAAAAATGCAGCTTTCACACTGCTTGGAAAAAACTTTCTAATGCATTTTAATTCACATTATGGGATTATATTATGTTTTTATAGGAGTGTATACGTTTGAGAGAGGCAGGATACGTTTGAAAGCCAGTATTACTTTTGAGCAGATATGCTTTAATGTTATGTCAATATGGTGGTTTAGGCGGGTCATTCAATTTCTGGGGAGAATTTTAAAATGTGGGATGAAACCAGATGCAGCCACTACAAGTTATACCTTTTTAAAAAAAACTTTAATTAATTACATAGTATGATCTCAAAATATTAACAGTTTGTACAATTTACGGTGTTGTCTTATGGTTCCAAAGAGTCAGGAACCCTTTCGAAAGGAATTGGAAGCGGTGGATTGCCCATTCCTTGACAAAGACTGGAGTTGTACAGTCGACAATTCTGGTGAGTCAAATTTTTTTTGTTGTCTTCGAAATCACAGATCAATCTTGATTATTATGTCTTCTACCAACACAGACGAATTTTCAAGATAACCCTATCGAGTAGTACGTATGTTGGGATTTGAACTCAAGACTTCTTGGTCCAGAGGCAGGGTCACAAGTTATCAGCAATGGACTATGCACACTATCATACTCCTCTGTGTGGATTTTGCTGATAAATCATGCAGAAAGCGTATATTTTATATGGCAGGGTACTTACTCATATTGACCATCGTTTACTGTCATTTTTCACGTCCCAAAAATGGAGTTTTCCACCACACCATTATTGGTTTGCAATATGAGATTTCGACTTAGCCCTCCATGTATGCTTCTTCTTCGATCCACATTTGATTCAATTTAGATAGACCAAAGGTAAGTGTACATAGTACAATAGTTAATGACCTTGCCTCAGTATGTGTATATAGGTAAGAATAGATATTGACTACAACATATAGCTATGCTGTGAAGGCCCATAAATTTGGTCTCTTCGCTCCATTTCAGTAGATATATACATGGACATTATTCTTTATCTGAAACATTTGTCAAGCAATATATCTTATTATACAAAAAGCCAAATATATTGCTTTCCCAAATAAAACAAAATTACATCTTCTGAGAATAAGATTTGCAGACCACAACATACAACTACACCTAGGAAGGCTCATAACTTCTCTTTCTCACTCCAGAAGTATTAAAAAACAGACCTGATAATGTTATATAGCTTCTAAGTCCCAAATAAAACAAAATTATCTTCTGAGAATAGATATTGCAGACCACAACATACAGCTACACTAGAAAGGCCCATAACTTCTCTCTCACTCCAGAATTATAGAAAAACCCAAAGCAGATGATTTTGTTTTATTTGGGACCTAGAAGCAATATAAAACATTATCTTCTGAGAATAGATATTGCAGACCACAACATACAGCTACACTAGAAAGGCCCATAACTTCTGCTTCTCACTGGCGAAGTCCATAACATTTGTCGATATTGTCTGTATGATGGATAACACACCAGGGACAGGCTGGAGGCTGCCTGTTTAGCCATATTGGATGATGTGCTGGCTTTGATGGATTGAGATGTAATACACCAGAGTTTGGAGAGAATACAGAACAGTTTTTTTCCTCTAGAATTATGTAGTTGTTTTGTCGATGAAGGTTAGACATCCAGTTGCTTCAGTAACTGTTTTTGGCGTATGTTGTTGTCGTTTAACTCACAATAGATTCATAACCCTTTTAAGCTTAAGGGACATTATGAAATCGTTGAAGGTAAACCACACATTGAGCAAATTGAAAGGAACTCCTTGTATTTTTCCTCGAAAATAATATCCAAAGTCATATCTATTTGCTTGAGTAACTGTTTTTTGCACACATCGAGTAATTTTGAAGGAACTAATTGTATTTATTGATAAGAAGTATAAAAAAGGAGAAAAATAGTAATTAAATGCACACTGTAATACCGATGGAGTTTGGGTAGAATACCCTCGAGAATCTGTTGTTTATGTGCGAGTATGAAATGATTATAGGAGAACCACACATGTCCCCAATTAAGTCTTTTATCAATGATAAATAATATCAATAAGGAAACTAAAGAAATAACTAATGCAAATTCAGCTTGAAATATGTTCAGGCAATGGGTATTTCTGCACTTGTTCTGGTCAGTATTCTTTAGCTGTTTAGCCATATTGGATATATCCCATGTGATAAATTGACATGTAATACTGATGGAGGTTGGGGACATCATTGGCTATGGCTAAACAGTCCTGTAGGAAATAGCACCCCTTGCAGGTAGCCTGGTACTGCAGTTTGCTACACCCAGCATACATTTAGCGCAATATTCAGTAATGCATGTGAATGCATGTGAATGAGAGCAGACCCCCTAATGTAATTCTCACAAGACAACGTTGAAGACTCGGTTGTGTAAAAAGAGTCCCTATAATCAGTGTCTTACCAACCTGATGAAACCATTCACAAAATGAAAACACCTTTGAAGGCTATGCTAATTCATTTCCTTGGTTTTCGAACATTTTATTCTGAAAAGATCAATTAGATTTTGTTACATGAACTAGATATCAAGAACTGATTGCAAACATTTTACATTTTATTTTCCCTGAGTATTTTAGTGTCTCGGTACTGTCTACTTTAGTTTATTTTTATGCGGGAGTTGAATTCATTATGTTTTTCCATTGAAATTTTATCCTTTTAAAGAGGAAAGCTCTACACACTGCTCCACACCGCCCCAAGTTCTGGGGGAGGTATGTAGACGACACCGGCGTTGTGAACAGACAGGAACATGAACAGGAACTCTTCGATCACATCAACACACAGCATGACAGTATCAAGTTCACTATCGAGAGGGAACAAGACAACCGTCTCCCCATGCTGGATGTCATGATGGTCAGGAATCCAGACAACACCATTACTACAGATGTGTTCAGAAAAGAAACCCACACCGACCACTATTTACAGTGGTCCTCAAACCACCCGGTGCAACAGAAGCTTGGGATAGTTAGGACTCTTATGCACAGAGCCAACACCCTTATTGAAGATCCCGCGTTGAGAGAGGCTGAAAAGGAAAAAGTCAGAGTAGCCCTCAGACACTGTGGATACCCAGAATGGGCCCTGAGGGAGGGGGAAAACAACTCCAGAAAGGACAAAAGTAGCAAGGAACAGAGTAAGACTGGAGAACAAGAACAACTCCCAGCGAGTTACGTGGTTCTACCCTACATACATGGAGTTACAGAGAGGTTGAAACGTGTATATGCAAAACACAATGTGAGCCTGTACTCCAAACCGGGCTTCACCTTACGTAATGCCCTTGTGAGACCCAAGGACCCTCTAGCACCTGGTGAGAAGTGCGGTGTGATCTACAAGATCAAGTGTGAAGAGTGCGGGGAGGTTTACGTTGGTGAAACTGAGCGGTCACTGGGGGAAAGGACTTCTGAACACCAAAAGTCATTACACCAGAAAGACTGCAAATCTGCGTTAAGTCAACACCAACTCCAGGCTGGTCACAACATCACTACCAGGCCCATCTCTGACATTATTGAAATCATAGATCAAGAGTCTCGTAACCCACATAGGAAGATTAAGGAAGCGGTGCACATA